TATTTACCTTACCATCTGCCCTCCGTGAATGGAGCCATTTTTGCTGAAAATTAGGTTTGAGATCCTCAATATAGACGGCGACCACCGAGATCTACACTCTTTCCCTACACGACGCTCTTCCGATTCAGCATCATCATCATCATCATCATCATCATCATCATCATCAACCTCAGTATTATCATAAATATAATCAACACCACCATCATCATCATCATCCTCACCATCATCATCCTCAGCATCATCATCATCATCATCATCATCATCATCATCATCATCATCATCATCATCGATCATCATCATCATCATCATCATCATCATCATCATCATCATCATCATCATTAACCATCATCATCATCATCATCATCATCATCATCATCATCATCATCATCATTATCGTCATCATCATCATCATCATCATCATCATCATCATCATCATCATCATCATCAACGGAACGGTCGCGTGTCGAAGCCAACCAGTATCCGAGACTTTCTGCATCCCCCGGAAAAAAGCAACTTTTCGGTAAACAGATATCTTTTGGTAGGAGGCCTTTGTCTAGTGCTGTGTACTTTACCAACTAGTTCGCCTCTGTTGTGTTAAAAGTGGACCTCAAAAATTCTTCGTTGATGGCAACAATCCTGATATGCACCCCCGATCGGATCGGCAGCCTTTGAACTGTCAACTAGGGTGACTCAGCCCCAGTCACAGTAAAAAATCTCCGAAATGGTGGATGCAAAGTGTATTTAGTTGGCCAAACAATTTGACCGCATGTGGCCATAAGGCGGAAAAGAGGGATGCGAGATGTGGCTTTGTCCGAATACTACGAAACCCAGTATAGCGGTAGTTGCTGTGTTAAGTGTCTGTTGCCGCCTCCGATGGTGGGGGCTGAAGTGCGAATCGGAAACGCCAGGCAAAGAAATAACTCCTTATTTCAGCCATCAAATCATCTGCGTTAAGTATTTACGGTGGAGATTTTTTCGCGTACTGCTTGACTCGTGCACCATGCCTAAGTGCCACTTCTACAGTTGATTGCCTAACGCTTGAAATATTATGAAATTTTACAAGAAAATCCCTGTTACGCAGAAACAACCCAGGCTGCGTTCCCCAAAGTGTTACAGCAGTATTACTGTTTATAAAGTTATATTTTACGTTATATTACGACTCAGCATTTGCAGAAATGCCTCACACGACGTGACACCAATCAGACGCAAGGTAATGTAAAAAATATGTTCGCATGCCTTGTATTAAATCGTCCGACATGGCACGATCGAGGAGCACTCCTGTGGTTGACGCCAGATA